GTCATTGCTCAGGCCTGAGAAAGGCCTGCCTGCTGCCTCCCTATTGCTCCTGAGAAGGCCAGGATGCTGTTCACAGGCCAGCCCCTTGGACTGTCTGAGTCCCTGGACCGGGGTAGTTGTGTCTTGATCAGATCAGACCTCAGCCTATGGTTTTCCCAAGGGAGGTATCCACAGAGCTGAGCTTTTGTTAGGAAGAAATGGATACAAAATCATAATGCCACGTCCTGTGAGACAGAGCTAGGGCAAGATGTGCCGTCCAGTTGGGATCAGCCCAGGCAAAGCAGTGTGACTTTCAGAATCACTTTCATTCTTCGGGGGCATGCAGCTTCTGCTGACCCCATGGGCAGGCGACTGTGTTCTCCCTCCATTGTGGGGAGAAGTGCTGAACCTGGGGGGTCTGGGAACGAGTGACAAAGAGCAGGCTCCGGTGCTTAATGAACCAACCCAGGGTGGGAGCAAGGGGCAGGGGGCAGACCTGGGGATCACAGCTTTGCTTGGTGACTGGGGAGCATGAGGCACCGACCAGGAACCTCCTTGAAAGTAACGCTGTGAGCCTGTAACAATGGTTACCGTACGTTTCCAATTTTTTGAAGTTGTCCCGTTTCCAAACATTCTTTCGTCACTTCTATATACATTGACGCCTCCTGGGAATTTTAATATTTGAGCTTCCAGATGCCATTTTCCAGACTTCCTCCAGCACCCACCATAATCGTATGACAGACCACATCCCTGCTGTCTCACGTAGAGTCAGTGTGCCAGTAGCCTGAGTCCAGAACCCGGGACTGTCCCAGCAAAAGAAGCCATCAGCGAGTGAGTGACTAGCTGGGGCTATGATGTTAATAAAAAGGGTCTTAGGATGATGACTAATTCTCCCTACAGGCTCCTATTATAGGCCTACACTCTGGGGTGCCACTAGACAGGACCTGCTCGCCAGGGTTCTCTTATCTGAGTTCCTCCATTCAAGCATGCCTTCATTTCACACAGCTTGGATATCTCAGTATACCAGGCACAGTATCAGGCTACAGGCTCTATCCTCAGAATGCTCAAAGTGTCCTAAGAAAATAAATAGGCAATTATTATATGTAGTAAAAGCTACCAGGGGAGGATTTTTGGGAGATGGGGCATCTAAGTTGAGATTGACAGGACAGGAAAAGCTTAGGCCAGAGTACAGAGAGGGGTTTTTCTGGGGTGGTGTCTTGCCTGAGGGTTTTAGCCCCAGGCAAGTTCACTGTGGATTCAGTGAAACTGAGAAATGACAATGGAACATTCTGGGGATAAAAGGGTTTATACCTGGCTTTGCTCTAACAGCAATAGGTTGGACTATAGAATCATGTCGGCATGCAGCAGTCTGCAGGTCCATAATCCACTTCTGTCTCTGCCTCCGCCCAGAGCACTGGGTGGAGCTCTTTATATAATAACTCAGTCAATAATAGCTTATTGCCTACAGGTGTGGAAGCAGTGGCCTAGCAGTAGGCCAATTACATCATCAGGTAGTTTAGGGTCAGGGGAGGATCCCGGCCCTGGGAACTTCCATTTTCCCCACAGGTGGGTAATTCATGTTCTCCCTCAGGTCATTCAGGTCTCCTGTCAAGGCCTTCCTCGTGCTCATCTGTTCCCGTTCTGTATTTCTGTTCCCCTGTAAGCACTCTTCACTGCCTGGTCATAGTTAGATTTTTATTTTTGTCTCTAGTTTTATTGCTGTTCTCTCCCACTAAAGTATCTTTCCATGAGGACAGAGACTTGGTTCATGGATGTATCCATAGCCCCTAGAACAGGAGCAGGCCCCTAACAGATGGTCAGTCAGTTATTTTGCTAAATGAAGAAGTGAATGGGGGGAGTAGAGGCTGACCAGAGCAGAGAAGATAAGGGGGGGGGGTCTCCAAATGTCAGCCCTGGCTACCCAAGCACCTGACACCTGAACCCTGCTGTCCTGCTTGGGGTCCCACAGCATCCCCCTGTCACTTCTCCCTCTGGGTATGGGCCACCCTGAGGCTTCTGTTGGAGACCCCCTGGCCTGGCGTGGCCCATGAGCACCCTGACAGGGTGCTGACAGAGGAGGGGCAGGTCCGTGAGAAGGCAAGGCTGGTGTCTCAGCCTGGGCCCAACCACCCAGGGCCAAGCCCCCAAAGGGCCAGGCCTTACTCGCTGTCGCCGGCTGCAGGTCAGCTTGTCATCGCTGCTCCCGGGCAGCTTCCCTGTCTTGGGCCTGGTCTCTGCATCTCTGCTTCTCCCCAGGTTCTCCTTCTCCAGGAGTTCTGTGTTCTCTAGCTCATGCTCTGCCTTTTTGGACAGCCTGGTGGGAGTTTGTGCTTTCAGTAAATCCCTATGGGGAGAATGGTCAGGGATGAAGGATGCATAGAAAATGGCATTAGGCACTTTGAGGAACCTCTCAAAGGTGTCACACCATCATCTTTCAGAATTGGGAATGGGTGGTTTCCTGGTGACTTCTCTGGTTTCCTGTGCAGATTATTCTGTGGTTTCCCCAGCCCAGCCAGCACATGACAGACACGGTGGCCAGTTCTGACTCCTCTATTCTCTCATGTGGCACAGATGTGGGGTGGATTAATTCTGCCATTTCCTCCAATGGCCTACAAAGGTCTTCGCCAAGTCACAGTCATTAGAACGGGGAATCCCACCTTCTCCCTAGGCCACCTGGCCAAAAAGAGAAAAAAACAGTCCAAGGGTACAGTATTTACTGGGAGCAGAATTTGATAAGGTTTGCTCTTTTCTCTAGCAGTTCACATAGGCGTTTTCTTATATCATGTCACTCACTTGTCACTGTGTCACAGTAAAATGTCCCCACCTTCCTCCTACATGTGCCAGGTGGTTTCTGACAACAAAAAAAGACAACTTTGATCTCTTCCCTGGCTTTGAAGTCACTGAACACTGATGCTGGAGAGAACCTTACAGGCCATCTAATCCTGTCACTGCCAAATGCCAGTCTACACACATACATTACCTGGGAATCATTTGGGATACTTGTAGCAAATACAGACCCCTGACTTCTGCCACCAAGATTTCAATCCAGTAGGTCTGAGTGGACCCAGGAATCTGCATTTCCACAGGCATTCCTGATGATTTTGATGTGTGGCCAGACTTATCCAATGACCACTCTAAAATCTGGTCAAGTGAGAAAAATCTGGTCAAGTGAGAAAAATCTGGTCAAGTGAGAAAACTCAGGTCCCCAAGGGGTAAAGTTAGCTCCCCGTGAGTGGAGCACAAGCAGGGCGGTGAAGCGTGTTAGGTGGCATATCCAGAAACCCAAGCTCCCAGCCAGCTCCGGCACTAACTGCGTGTATGGCTCTGACACTGACTTCCAGCCAAACCCTGGCTTTGAGATGATCTTAAGCCTTTTTCCAGATCTTCTTTGAGTCCCCAGTATCCCCTTGAAGAAGTAGTGCGATGCTCTGTAACCCCAAAAGAGTGAATTCATTCATCTGCGCAGCAAACATTTACTGTTCATTTCCTACAGCCAGGCTCTTATGCCAACCAGAGTTTATGCATGTGACAGGGTTTCAGCCCTTAGGGAAATTAATGCAAACTAGGATCTGCTGAGTATCTACAAGGTGCCAGGCATCAAGCTCATTTTATTTAATCTGTACAACAGCCCTAGGCACCATCCCCATGCCACAGTTGGGGAAATGCCCTCAAGAGAGGCCACAAGACTTTCCTAAGGTTATTCAGGTAGAAAAAAGAGCCTTCTATGTGCCAGGTGCTGTTCTAAGCTCTTTACATCTATTGCCATATTTCACCAATACTGTGACAATGCATTTTAACATCTCTGAAATCTGGAAGCATCTGGCAAATAACTTAATTTGCCACTGTAGCTGTCAGGGCTTTGTCCTTCTTAGTAGCAGTGATGTGCTAAAATAGTGACGTGCCTTACAAAAAGTGGCATCTCAGATTTGATGAACTACTGTTGCCCACTTACAGACAGTAAGTGGCCAAGCCAGAATTCACCCCCAGGTCTGTCTGTCTTCAAACATTTTTGTGCTCACAGCCTATTGGGAAAGTAGACATGAACCATGGAACCCAGGGCTCAGACACTTCCTGGGGAACTCTCCCCGCCACTGAGCTGCACAGCAGGCCACCTGCCCACAAAGTCTCAGCCCTCCCTTGATTTCCTCTGTTTCCTCTGCCCCCTTCTCCCTGGCAGGTATGACTGCTGGCCACCAGGTCTCACAAAGGTGGAGAGGAATCCAGCCATCACTATTCCTTTGGTACTTACCCAAATGAGTTAAGAACTTATGTCTGCACAAAAACCTGCATAGAATGTCCATAGCAGCTTTATTCATCATCGCTAAAACTTGGAAGCAACCAGACGTCCTTCAGTAGGTGAATGAATAAATAAACTGTGGTCCGTCCAAACACTAGGATATTATTCAGTGCTATAGAGAAATGAGCTATCAAGCCACAAAAAGACATGGAGAGCTTTAATGCATATCCCTAGTGAAAGAAGCCAATCTGGAAAAGCTACACATCATATGATTTCAACTAATGTGACATTCTGGAAAAGGCAAAACTATGGAGACAGTAAAAAATATCTGCTTGCCAGGGAGGTGGGCACGGGGAAGGGCAGATCAGCTGAGCACGGAGGATTTCTAGGGTGGCGAAGCTATAATGGTGGATGCTTGTCACTGTATGTTTGTCCAAACCCGTAGGCTGGATGCCACCAAAGAGGAAGCCCTAAGGAATGGACTCTGGGCGATAATGCCATGTCAGTGCAGGTTCATCGATGGCAGCACATGTACCCTTCCGGTGGGATGTGGATAATGGGGGAGGCTTTGGAAGGGGGAGGACAGAGGGTGTGTGGGGAATTCTTGTACCATCCTCTCAAGGTATATGCCGTGAAATCTGCTGGCCTGTTCTTGGCCCTGACTGTGCCCCCAGCCCTGCCCTCCCCATGCAGGATGAGCTGGGGGCACAGAGCGGGTCAGGGAAGGTCCCTGGGAGGCCCCCGGGGTGTCCAGGGTGGAGTGGTGACTGTGAGCTGCTCCCAGCAGGCGCTGTGGAGGCCGTGATGATCCGGCTGGTGAATGGCTCGGGCCCGCACGAGGGCCGTGTGGAGGTGTACCATGACCGGCGCTGGGGCACCGTGTGTGACGACGGCTGGGACAAGAAGGACGGGGACGTGGTGTGCCGAATGCTGGGCTTCCGCGGCGTGGAGGAGGTGTACCGGACGGCTCGATTCGGGCAAGGTAAGGTGCCACAAAGGAAAAGGACGCAGGGAGAGGCCCTGGAATCCCCGGGCTGGCCTCCTCTCCAAAGCCCGAGTCCCCCGAACAGCAGTCCTGCCAGGGGCTCCCTGGCCTCTGCCCTGGTACTTCCTGCAATGGGAGGTTCGCCGTCCCTCAGGCAGTTCTGAGTATTAGAATGTTCTTCCTTTCCTCAAACTGACTTCCTTCCTTGTCTCCTGTCGGATTCCCCTACTGGCCCTTGTTCTCATCCTGCGTCTCAGGGCACTTGTCTCATCCCCCTGCCACGCACCTCTGTTACAGCTGTGTTATGTAGCACAACATATATGCTTGTATAGCACTCACCGTGGGCCAGGCTGGGTTCTAAATACGTTACAAATGCCCACTCATATAATCCTTACAACACAACAAAGTAGATGCAGATATCGTCTCCATTTTCCAAATGGAAGAAGCAGGCACAGAGGGGCTGAATAACTTATCCAAGGTCACACAGCTAGCAAACGTCAGAGCCGGGGTTCAGACCCAAGCAGGTGGCTTGGGAGTCCACTCTGCTGGCTGTCCCCACCCTCTGAGTCTGTCCTTCCTCAGGTGACTACCTCCAAATACTTCCTTTTGTCCTCATAGGACAGTTTTGAAAGCCACCATTCCGGTTGCTTTCCTTTCAGTGTGCTCCAGCACATGGCCCCTCCCGCGGTGGGTGCAGGAGCCTCTGCGGGTGTGGCCCCTTCCTGGGCACACAGCTGGCCTGAACCGCCGACCCCTTCGCTGCAGCTTCGGTCCCCATCCCGGTGCTGTGTCTGCCGCAGGCTCGCTCTCTGTGCCAGCCTGCCCAGCCGCTCTAACAGACCCCATGGACTGCATGGCTTAAACAACAGAGGTTTATGTTCTCCCAAGTCTGGAGGTGGGTCCTCAGAAGGCGTGTGTGTGTGTGTGTGTGTGTGTGTGTGTGTGTGTTCAAAGGCTCTATCTCCGAACCAGTCCTGTTCTGCACGGCTTAGGGCTTCAACATAGGAACTGTGGGGACATAATTCAGACCATGACCCTCTCGGTACGCCAATAGGCTTACTGGGACCACCACCCAAGCTGATGTGAAGGTCTACACACAAACGGGGGCACTTAGGACGCACCCACAGACGTGTGCTCAACATCCGGAGCCCCGCATACATGTGCACCCTCAAACATAAGCATTCATATTCACATGTACTTTTTTGTCCATCAGACCTTGAACTTGGAGAAACCTGTGTTGACTCACAATGATATCAATGGTCCCACAGGCACACAACCAGTACTCCCCACACAGACCAGCAGGCGACCTTGGCTGTGTGCTCTGGTGGCTTCTCCACCCTGGCCCTTGGGGACCCCATCTGGCACTTGAAGGTTCTGCAGACTCTGTGATGTGCCCTCCAGCTTAGGCCCCCTGGGACTTGAAATGCCCCCGCTCACTTGTCAAGAGGACCTGAGCTCTGGCAGGTGAGGGGGAGAGATCTGGATGGAGCTGCTCACACTTGGTTGCCAAGTCCCCCGGTGACCTGGGGAGGAACAGTGGGCCCCCTGGGGGAGCCCCTCACTGCACAGAGCGGAACCTGGTGTGTTTGCTGTTTTGCCCCTTGCCGGAGGCTGCGGCTGCCCAGCCCACTGGCTGAATGGCTACGGCCCTTAGGGTATGGAGAGGAGGGGCCCACGTGTCTTCCCTGTAGGAAAGTGAGCCAGCTCACACCCAGACTAGTGGTGGGACCCTCCACTTCCCATGGCCCCCATTAGACCTTAGTCACTCTCATGGACTGAATGTGTCCCCCCAAATTCATATGTTGAAACCCTACCCCCCAGAATGATGGTATTAGGAGGTGGGCCTTTGGGAAGTGACTGGGTCGTGAGGGGGAAGCCTTGTGAGTGGGGTCGGCATCCTTATAAAGGGACCCCAAGAGGGCTCCCTCCTCCCCTTCCCGTCAGGATGTACACCCAGAGGGCCCGCACTAGAACCTGACCACCCACACCCTCACCTCAGACTCCCATTTCCAGAGCTGTGAGAAATAACTGTCTGTTGTTTATAAGCCCCGCAGCCAGTGGGACTTGGTCCCAGCGGTCTGAGCAGATGAAGACGGGCACGCTGACTGAAAGTGGCTCTTAGTGAAATCTGTTGTGACAGCTGGCAGAGAGCAGCTGACTGTCCCCACACGTCCTGGCCTCTCTACTCAAAGGCCAGAGCACGGGGGTGTGGGTGGGGGGAGTTCAAAGCGTCCAGCTCCAGGGAGGGCAGCCCACCGGGAGCGTGCCTCCCTCCCACTGACAGCTCGGGGCTAGTCTCCGCCCGTTTTCTTCAAGGGAAATGCTGTTTTCGTTCACATGAGAAACAGGAGCGGTAGGAATGGTCTGCGCTTTTCCATTGTTGGCGCCAATGAGGGCATCTTCCTAAGAAGCGGAAATAAAACCATTTTAGAAAAAACCCCATGAACTCTTTTAGAGAAGCCGTAATAAGCCGTCTGAATGTCACGAGCGTATCAGTCTAACACCCTCGTGCAGCCCTTTTCGTCCACCTGCACGTCTGTATGGTGTGAGGCCCTAAAATTACCACTTGACTCTTTAAGCCAGTCGGTGGGAAGTCAGACTTGCTTCCATGTATACATCAAATGTGCAATTTTATTTCCCCACCACCGTCCATAACTTATGTCATGTGCTACTCGAGGCCTTGACAGGTAGGCAGGCCAGGACTGAGCAGCTATGCAGAAGGAAAGAGAAGGGCCTGGCCCAGCCACGCTACCTGGTGCCCTTTCCCCCCGCCCAGCCTGCATGCCTTCTTTGCACAGCTGTTTCCAGGCACCTTCCATGGGCCAGCTCTTGGCTCAGCACTGGGGCCCAGGGTGGAGTGAACCTAGTCTCCAACCTCAGTGTGCTCAGTTTATAGAGGACAGAGCAGAAATGTCTGCAGATTCTGAACAGCACAGTACAGGCCCTCGGGCCCTGGTAGGGGTGGGGCAGCAGCTGGGGCCGTGCGGCAGGTCCAGGCACCCCTCAGACCACAGTCAGCCTCTTATCCCGGGTGCCCCGCCTCTCAGTCCCAGCTCTTTGTTCCCACTGCCCTTGCCTTAGGAGCTCAGGCAGGGTACAGCAGTGGTCAAGAGCTCAGCTCTGAGTCAGACTCAGTAGAGACCTGGAGCAGATTTCTTAACCTCTGCTAGCCTCAGTCCTTCCACTTTCGCCAGCCCCTGTTACCTTCTCCTGTAGCTACCAGGGATCTTTCCAAAATGAGTAGCTGCTCACGTCCTTCCCCTGCCTGCATGCTCAAGCGGTCTTTTTGCTCTCAGGATCAGATTTGGATTCCTCAGCTTAGTACCCCAGACCCTCGCTAATCTGTCCCCCGAGCCCCTATCCTTCAGCCACATGTGTCCACTTATGTTCTCTGAGCCTGTGTAGCAATTTGACGTCTCCCCGTCTTCTCATGTGCTGCTCCTTCTGCATCTATTAATGCCCATTCAGCTCTTAAATTCAGCTTACTTATCATCTCCTGTGGGGAGCTGTGCTGTCTCCTTCCATCCCCCGCTCCACCCACACCCCCGAGGTAAGCACCCCCACTCTGTGCTCCCACACATCTTTTGTGCAGATCTATGGCACCTCTCACACGCTCCTGACCTCTGACCTCTGTGTGAACATCTGGAAGGCTTCACCTTGACCCCTCCAAAACTCAGGACGATCCCTGGGATATAGTAGGTACAGTGTAAGTGTGAGCAGGAAGGGAGGGAGGCAGGGAGAGAGAAAGGAGCTGCCATGCCTGCCTAAACCTGCGTCCTCCCCTGTGTAACACAAGAAACTGCCAATCTCTGGCAGGTCTGGCACTGGTCTGGTACCATAACATTTTTCCTGGACAATCAATAATGAAATTATCAGTTTCCCTGGGAAAAAACAAGGGAAGACTGAAATGCAGGAGACTGGAAGATATTTTATAGTTTTAAATTGGTCCACCCGGCTTCTTTCACTTAGCATAATACCCTCTCCATTCATCCATGGTGTTGCAAATGGCAAGATTTCTTTCTTTTTTATGACTGAATAATATTCACTAATATAATATTGTATATCAACTATACTTTAATTAAAAAAAATTTTTTTTAATTGAATTGGTCCAAGAGCTTCTGGCAAGGGAGCAGTGGGGTAGAGAAGATGGAGGGTAATGGCTGGAACAAGGTCTAGGGGGAAATGGATGGGAGCTGAATCTAGCCCAGCGGGGAATTTGTTTTGGACCTACAGAAAAAACCTTTCTGAGACAGACAGACCAAAGGAGGTAAGGATGGGTACAAACACAGACAGACTTATTGGTGGGAGTGCAAAGATGGAATTGTGAGTATCCACTTCCAATTGTATCAGTATTACCACTTTTTTCTATGATAAAATTTGAATACTGGGAGATGGCTCTGTGCAAGGGTCAGCAACCATTAAAAGGCCAGGTAGTACATATTTGTGAGTCAGATAGTCTCTCACAACTACTCAACTCTGCAATCGTAGCATGAAAGCACCACTGACAAAATGTGATCAAACAGTGGGCCGTGTTCCAATAAAACTTTATTTACAAAAGCAGGCAGACAGAGGGCCAAGTGACCCAGGGTTTGCCACCTCCAGCTTAGTGTTCGTGCTGTGTGCTGTGTACTGTGGTTCTGTTAAGGAGGAAGGACTGGACAGGCTGGACGTCAGAAGCCTGGGTCGCTCTCCTCCCCTTAGTAGTTATGGGATGAGCCACTTAATCTTTCTGTGGCCTCTAGTTCTTAAATATCTATCAGATAGTGGTCCTACCTCCCTCTGTGTGAGGTTCTGATGGAAGCCTGCAGGATTCAGTGTAACTTATTCCTTTTATTAATATGAATGTACATAAACATTTAGAAGCTCCAATGTTAACTCCATGAGGCAGCGATGTTTTATCCCTTTTGCTCACTGATGTAGTCCAGACACTCAGAAGAGTGCTGAGAACAGAGTAGGCCCTCCGGTATTTATTGAATGAACAAACAAATGGTAAGGCTAAAGTAGCATCTGCATGTAAGTATCCTTACAGTACCACTTTCCAACAGCCCCTGGGGCTCTCAATATCAGAAACCTGGCCTCTGGCCTCAGGTTTGCCTCCTCCAGATGAAACATCACCGCGCTGCTTCATGTTTCTCACCTGTAAAGTGGGGGGCAGAGTACCTCCCCTGCTTCCCTGACAGGCCTTTGTTGGGGAGCTCACAGAGAGATCCCGCTCAGCAGTGCAGACCTAACAGAGAGCAGGGCTTCTCAGACTTGAATGCGCATATGTATCCTGGAGGTTTGGTTAAAATGCAGATCCCACTTCAGGTCTGGTGAGCTCAAGGCTCTGCATTCTAACAAGCTCCCAGGTGATGCCTGCGCTCCTGGTCCTAGGGGCACGCTTTGAGTCATCAGATGTGGGTTCTCAAGCTAAAGTGATGATCAGTACTTGGGGTCACAGGAGCTCCAGGCTCTCTGATGTGCTGAGGAGCAGAGATGGTTTGTGGGTTGACTGGCCCTTGGGCAAGGCCCCACGCCGTTGCAGTAACTGCAGATATTCAGTGCTGCTGATTTAATGACCCGATTCTCATTTTATTAGCTCTTGCATGACTGAACATTAGCCAGAACATCCTGGCTAAGCACCAGCTGGAGTTTGGAGTTTCATGATCCTACATATGCATCTGGAATTGTTACCTTGGGCCCGTTCTGTATTTGTCAGTCTCCTTTATTTGGTTTGGGTGTGACTAATCCCACAGAGCTCTTGGGTCTGCAGCCTTTTTCCTGGGTAATTTGTAAACTGATGTGTCTTCCAGGAGACATTTAATCTGTGAATTATTGCTCAGCCTCAAAGGGTTTATTGTGTAAGAGGCCCAGGGTATCCGGCCAGAGAAGAGGTTGTGGAGAAGAAACAACAACCAAGAAGACGGTGGAAGGAGGCCCTTCCCAGCCCTGTCCACGAACTCAGCGCCCAGCAATCCCATGACAACACAAGCTGGAAATCTCTGCATAACAAAAATGTCTAAACCACTTAGTTCATGCGGTAGATTCAGTGGGCGGCAAAATGGCTTGGATGTTCCCTTGATGTTCTTTGTGAAGGGATTTCTCACATGCAGTTCAAGAGCCAGTAGAGTTTCAGAACCATCAGGTAGAGTTCCAGATTATGAAAAACATAGATTATGTTTTGAGCTCATAGAACGGGAACACCTGCTTTAAGCTTCAGAACACTGGCTGTAATGTTGGCACTGGCACGTTTGGTTATGAGGCGCTGGGTGTGTCCAGGCCAGGATCTGACACCGTCTCTCCAGTTAGGCTCTGCCTGAGTATTCGTTAACAAGCACTGCAAGATACCGTGTCTCAAAAGCCGTGAGGTGCCTCATGTAAGGTGCAGGCCTGGGAGGCAGCAGGGCTCGGGCTTGAGTTCCGACTCTGCCACTTATAAGCTGAGCAGCCTTGCACCAGGTGCCCTCTGAGCTTCAGTTACCTGATATCTATCTCACAGTACCATGGTGAGAATGGAGGGAGATCACATATGTAAGATGTCTGACACAGAGGAGATGCTCAGTAAATACCACCGTCAATCATTGTTATTCTGTCCTGAAGAAACTGGGCCTAGAAAATAAGTGTTTAGTCTTGCAGGATGGAGAGGGCATGTGGGAGCCGTTAGATCTGAGAATTGCCAGCAGAACCTGGGGCAGCCTGAGCAGAACGATGCTCCTGTCTCTCCTCTGTCCTGCCTGCCGGCATGTCTGCTAAGAAGCCTGTTGACTTGTCTCCGCAGGCACTGGGAGGATTTGGATGGATGATGTCGCCTGCAAGGGCACAGAGGACACCATCTTCCGCTGCAGCTTCTCCAAATGGGGGGTGACAAACTGTGGACATGCTGAGGATGCTGGGGTGATGTGTAACAGGCACTGAATGCGGATGCAGCCCAAGCTCTGGGCCCTGCTGCCATGCCTCCTTCCTGTGCCCCTAGGGTGGGGGCATTGCTTGAGGCTCCCCTCTCAGTGCCTCTGCCCTGCCCAGTCCAGCACCCCCCACCCCTGTATCCCTATCCCAGGACTTTGGGACCCTGCTGTCATTCTCCTCTTGGACGTCTGCTCCAAAGTGCAACTCTGGGATCTACTGCCGGTCTCCCTCTTCCACCAAGGATCCTGCTTGTAGAGCCCTGGCCAACTGGATCGCCATTTTGCCAGCCTTTCGCGCACCATGCATCATGCATCAGGCCTCGGTCGTGCTGCCTTTGGTCTGTTAGTTACAGACGAAAGCTGAGACAATGTGAGGGACACATGCCACAGTGGAGGAGGGAGGGAGGTGTAGCAGGTCACGTACTCTTCAGATAATTCCCAGACCTCGGTTAGGCCCACAGTTTCGACATCTTCCTTCCCAGTAAGAGACAATACTGAATGATGTGTTCCCCTCTTTGCTCTGCCTCTGCGCACCATCTGTTAGTTTGGGGAAGTGACATACAGGAAAGGCCAGCTGCAGGAGCCCCAGGGAGAGGCAAGTCAATCTGGATTTGCAGGAGTGAAACAAACATCTGCTGAGTGACTACCACGCGTGCTACACAGTATCTTGGTGCCAAATCCATCTATCCACTTTGCAGTGTTTCCACGAGGCATGTTAGCTTGGTAAGACCTTACCTCCAGGTAGCACTCAACTGACCCATTCTCCTGTAAGTCAGAAGACTGAGAATGACCGAGACCATTGTGTCCACCAGAACCTTAGTGTGTCTTGGCTAGGCTTGAGCCAGAAGCTCAGGTGCAAGACACGCATGACTTGAAGGTTACATGCTCTAAAACCTATGGGGTGTCTGAGTGCAAGATAAGATGTGACTGGTTCCCAGGCCAACCACCCGCGGAGGAGGAAAGCTGATCTGGAGGCTGGCATGGGGGCTGTCCGGGTTAAACTGAGACCTGCACTCTCACCTGGCCGTCAGGGAGAAAGCCAAGGCGCCTGCGTCTCAGAACTTGCTGGAGGTGATGATGCTGAGCCTTCAAGGCCTCTTTGGGTGCGACCCTGTGGTCAGGAGATCATGTGTCCTAATGGATCCTGTAAGAGTGGAAGGAAATGAGGGTTCCCTCTAACCTCTGGGGGAAGGAGGGGCCGTGGGCCTCTGCAAGCCCTCTCCTAGTGACAGGGAGATCATATTCTGCTTTGGACACAGGAGGTCAAACTAGCCCATATATGTGTTCTAGGACTAGGGAGCTACACGGTAGTGAGTAAGCACAGACCCACCTCACCAGGGGAGTCACAAACTCAGGCCTCAGACACACACTCACCTGTCATGCTGGGTGAGCATCGGCTTGCCTGGGAAAAGTGACACCTGGGACCCTCTAGGTGCAGGGCCGGCAGAGTTCCTGGCCGATAACTAAACCAATACGTGCTATTGGTTGTTCTTTGCTTACAATATGCTTGTTATTCACTGATGTCCTAATGATCAGACACTCTCCTGACCGATTGCTCTGTTTACATAAAACACATGTACTCATGCACTTTTTCCGGGGCCAACATATGTATGCATATATAAACATGGCGCTCTTTACTACATAGCGCAGCACATTGCAAAGCTTTCATTAAAGAAAGAAAACGGTAAAGGTGGAAAGATGCCACACTGAACAAAATTAATTGCCAAGTCAGTTCTGGCAAAGAACCCAGTTATCCCACCGATAAAGACCCACGTAACTTTCTTCCTTGATCTTTTCATTTGGGAAAAACAGAAGTTTTGTTTTGCATCAAATAAAGATGACAGTCATAAGTGTTTGGACCTTAAAATAAAAGTCTACTAGTTTACATGCCTACGTACGAAGACACGGAAATAACCATGGGCCTGTATTTCAGGGACTAAAGGAAATTAGGCCTGGCCTAAGGTACATCAGCCCTTTGCAAGAAAGAATTTCAATAAAGCCAAAAAAACCCTGTCACTAATGAGAGTTCCATCATATTGTTTCTCATGAAAACCTGGTGAGCACGCAGAAGATAGCGAAATCGATGGTCTGATCATTTCTCAGTCGGGGTTGATAGAAGGGGTGGCTTCTGAGAAGTTGCCTTAATACTTCTGGGGGATAATAAACACATTCTCATGGTGGAACATGGTGTCTCAAGCTTTATTAGGTCACGTAAGAAAAAGGACCCAAGTAACAGAACAACAATCAAGGCCCAGCTTATGGGAGAATTTCTTCTGTATTTGATAAACGGGAGAACACCTGTCTATTCCTCACATCCTTGGATTTCCTGCCTGGGGCTGTTTTTCCATCTGGAGTTCCATTCACAGGTAAGAGGACCATCCAAAGATGGGTACAGGGTCTGTGAAGTCACTGGGCCTCATCACCTAAAGGGAGGCAGGAACTCCCAGGCACAGGACCCAGGCAGTGTGTGGGGTTGGCCCAGGCCACCGCACAGCCCTGGCCCCATACTCATAGCTGGCACCTGTGGGCAGACCTAACAACTTCAAGCTTGCAATAGGTCTTAATATTTGCTAAAGGAAGTCCACAAAGTTAACTTCTGGAAGACCACAGAGAGGGAATCCTGTTTTCCTCCCTAAGAAGCCTGGTGATACCCACCCTGAAATCACTGTGGTTCCCTTTCTGTAAACAGCCCCCATGGAGAAGGGCTGCGGCCCCCTCATGTCTGCCCTCTACCATGTACAAGGTACCACCACCGCCCTCATGTCAAGTGCCTGTGAGAACAACCTCTGGGGCCCGTGTGCTGTAGTTAAGCCAACCACTGTAGTGGACCTGATACGTGGACAAGAATTACGACTAGGCTACCCCTTAGTTTCTTCAGCTATATTGTTTTATGCCAGCCATTCTAACATTTCTGTAAAATGTCTAATGTGTGACCCACTCATCTTTCCCCTCTCAGAGCAGCTCTTCCTTCAGCCTTTCAGAGAACGCCCTCCCCCCCCTTCCTTTCCCTCTCCTCCCTTCCACCTTTAGCTTTCTGGGGCTGAGATATGGCTCTGACTGACTCCAGCTTTATTTATTTATTCCCATCCACCAACTCACTCCCACCCCTAATTAGAATAGGCTAAGGAGCTTTTAAGGAAGAATTTCCATCCCCCGAGTAAGTTTCCACTCTAGTTGGGGGGAACATGAATGGCAATCCAGCTCTGTGTGAGCTCCGGTAATGGTGCCTCTCTCTCCAGCTGGCCTCACGGGGTGCATACATATTGGTATTCAGCTGACAAGGGAACCCTTATGCACTTTTCTAGAGTCTTCTCTGTACTGCTTGGGTACCGTGCCTTGCAAATTCCAGCCTCCCCTCTCTCTGATGTCTGTCTTCTTACCCCGGGGAGATTGCTGGGCCCTGGGCTCCTCTCCCTGTGCTGCAGTCAGACTGAAAGCCTTCACCAGGTGGGCTCACCACACCTGTTGCCTTGTCTCAAGGATCACAGTCTTGTGTGACCTATTGGCCAAAGTCTGAAATGATATGTATTTGGGGCAATTTTCTGGTTATGACAGAGGAAGGGTGATTCTGGTAAGTAAGTCTTTCAAGGCCCAAAGTGGAAGCCCTTTCTGTGGGTATTTTCTGGTTGGCTGCTCCAAAGCACCAAGAACATGGAATGAAGGAGAAAAAAAAAAGGATAAGAAATAAACTGAGAAAGGAAAGGGGATGATATTTAGTGAATACCCAGTATTCTCCAGATACTGCCAGGCGCCTTACTTCTGGTGCCTTATTTAATCCTCGCAGCCACCCCAAACGAGTTCATTCTTATAATTCCCATTTTACAGATGTAAAAATCAAAGTAAGAGGAATTAAGGAATTTTCCTAGGTCATGGAACTACTGGGGTTATTCGTACAATAACAGGAAGTGACACATTTAAATATTTCTGAGCCCTTTCTTAACCAGGCACTCTGCTAGGTGCTAAAGACCCAAGTTGCAAAAGACGGTCTCTTGCAATTGAGTCCAAAATGATTGCCCAGAAGAGAATCACTCAAGCTGGCTGACCTCAGAGATGGCAGGCAAGTCATCCCCCACCTGCTCTCATCAGCTACAGTAAGGGTAGAGGAGCCCATGAGAAACCACCATCTCATGGCCCAGAGGCCCCTGCCTCTGTGTTAGGGTGTTTGGAAAACTTAGGTGATATTTAAATGAACACTGAAATGAAATTACAAGGAAGTTTTAAATACTAAAACAGCCTCAAGAACTTCAATAGTGCATAACATTTAAAGAAATAGAATCTGCAGATGGTTTAATAGGGGAGCCCTAATGAACATTCAGAGAACAGGGCACGGAAATCTTACACAAGCACTTCCCAAGAATAGAAAAAGAGAGGCCACTCGCCCAACTCATTTTATGACACCTGAAAAACTTTCCTAACCAAGCAAGACAAAAATATATGTGCAGAGAAAAACTATGTGCCAATCTCACTCATCAACATAGATACAAAAATCCTAAACAACATATTAGCAAATAGAATCCAGCAAACTATAAAAAGTATCATACATCATGTCAAATTGGATTTATCCTAGGAAGGCAAACTTTCAACATTAGAAAATCTATTAATGTAACCATCACTGTAACAGATGAAAGGAGAAAATCTATATGGTTATCACAAGAGATAATAGAAAATTCAATACTCATTAATAATAAAACTCTGCCACTAAAGTAGATGGGAATGTCTCATAAAGGTATTTATCAAAAATCTGTAACATGCATAATTAAATGGAAATATCAGCAACTTTCCTGTTACACACCAGAAACAAGATAAAAATGCCATCTACCCAGGGCCTAGAGGCCCCTGCCTTTGTGTTAGGGTGTTTAGAAAACTTAGGTGATATTTAAATGAACACTGAAATGAAATTACAAGTAAGTTTTAAATGCTAAATATATCCTCACCTTTCAGCAATGTGCAGGACATCTTGGCCCACTCAGTAAGAAAAAGAAAAAAGTGTGAAGATTGGAAAGGAAGAAACAGAAACAAAAAAAAGTATTGAATCATACACACAGATGATATCATCATATACATAGAAAACCCAGAATATGGAGAAATTATTAGAATTAAATTGAGATTTAAATGGGGACAGAAAGAGATATAAACATACAGTCCCTCATTCTGATATTGGCTTTTAGGTACATTTTTACTTCTGAAGTTTAAAAATATTGAAAAATTATATCCTAGTGTTAATTTTTAAGCTCCTCAAAAGATGTATATCAGCAGAATATTGCCACTGAAATATTTAAACACATAGACTCATCATGAATAATTCTGGGACAGAGAGTGTGGGCCCACGAAGCCCTTGCGCAGGTGGGCCCAGGCCATCTCTCCAGCCGCATCATGTCTCACTGCCCCCTCTCCTGCCCCTCCGCTCTGGTCTGCCAGCCAGGTCCCACGCATCTGCCCTTGCCTTCCACGGCACCCCCCACCCCTTAACACTGCTATCGTTCAGGTCTCAGCCTGGGTAGGGCTGCTTCTTGGGGAGCCTGCCTTGCTCTCCACACTAGGCTATGTGCCTTTGTCATCAGCTCCCACGTACCTGCTCTTCTCCTTTCCCATCCCCTCTCCTATTGGTCCAGTGTCGCGGTCTCTCAGTGGACCGTCCACTGCATGAGGGAGAACTGGCTTCCCACTCTGTCAGCAACACCTGGTACACAGCCTGACAAATGCTAGGTGAGAAAGGAAGGAAGACAGTGAGGGAGGGAGAAAACATCTCCTTTCTGCGATAGAAAGAGAGAAGAGGACTTGCATGCTGGGGGTTGGTAGAGGGGTGGTTATGGGGACAAAGAGGTACTGACGGTGCTTTCTGGGGAAATAGCCTCACCTGTGTTACTTTAGAATATTTCTAAAGTCCATTTTTCACAGTAGCAGCTTCTTCACAGAAAACATAATGGGATCTTGCTTGGAAATTCCATTGTCTAATCAGTTATTGCTGGTGAATTGCACTCCTAGAGAAAATATTAGTAGGTAAAAATGTTAAATATTTATTGAGATTTATTGAGAAATAAGTATCTCAATGGTGAGTAACTATAGTCTAACAACTTTCACTGAAGAGAAATTTGATTATGATTAGGGAGGCCATTTGGTAAAATAGAAAGATTATGGGATATGGGACTAAAGGATCCGCATCCACATCTAAATTCCACTACTTATTGGATAAACCTCTAGTCTCAAGATCATCTATAAGTTGGGTATGTTACACACCTGCTGTTATAAGGGTTAAAAAATATATATTAAATAGAAAATGTTTTACAAAATCTAAATAATACAAATAATAACATTGATATAATAATGTGGAAGACTGTGGTCTTTGGTTCTCTGGAAAGATGGTCATTATAATTTAAAATTATGAGGAATTGATCAACAATAAAATATCATTGAATGTCTTAATAAATAAATAAATAAATAAGTAAATTCCGGGGCCAAAATAAATTATACTTCATTATATTAGATTGTTAGAGTGGTGATGTCAGTCACAGATTTACCTGAATTGTCGAGGAAACACAGGATTTGGTATTTTTAAAATCACTCCATGGCAATCTGCTCATGAGACAAGAGGGTCCCCCGGGGTCTTGTTCCTTTCTGGAAGGGCAGACAGTGAGGTATCTGTAGTGTGCACAGCCTCAAAATACACTTTGCAGCCCATTCCTCCATTGCTTTACTGGGCAGCAAGCTTACAGCAACTTGAAGCACAGACTGCCAGCAAATGGAGAGAGAAGCTGGGTTACCCCCCCTCTTCAGTTCCACCACTGTTGGCTTTCTGGTGACATCTGCAGGCTGATGAGAGAATGAGAACTTAAAGCCTTAGGGAAACCGAACGTCTGGGGCCATCAGCTAGATTTCTGAAGTGGGGTGTCCCGTGCACGTGAATCACCTGGAGATTTTGTTCAAATGCAGATTCCCATTCAGTAGGTCTGGGTGGGATCAGAGATTCTGCAGGTCTGTGCCCCTGGTGATGCCACAAGCGCTGAGCAGCAAAGTTCTAAG